TTAATTTTTCTTTGTCTGAGAACGTCTTGATTTCCCCCTCATAAAGATATTTTCGATGGACACAGAATTGTGGATTGACAGTTCTTTCCTTCAGCACTGGAAAAATGTGCCAGTTCCTTCTGACCTCCATGGTTTCTGATGAGAAATCCTTTGTGATTCAAATTGTTTTTCCCCTATAGGCAAGGTGTCATTTCTCTCTTGCTGCCTTTTTATTTTGTCCTTTGTTTTCGGAAGTTTGAGTATGATGAGTCTTGGCATGGATTTCTTTATGTTTATACAGTTTGGGGTTTGTTCAGCTTCTTGAATTTGTAGGGTTATGTCTTTTGGGAAATTTTCAGCCATTATTTCTTTGAATACTTTTTCAGCTCCACCTTTTTTCTCCTCTCCTTTCCTGACTTTGATGACACAGATGTTCAATCTTTTGTTATGGTTCCACATGTTCCTTAGCATCTGTTCATTTTTTCCCCCAGTCTATTTTCTTTCTGTTGTTCACACTGGATAATTTCTGTTGTTCTATCTTCAAGTTCACTGATTTTTTCCTCTGTCTCTTCCATTCTGCTATTGAGCCCATCTATTAATTTTTAAATTTTTAAGTTACTGCATTTTTTAGTTTTAAAAATTCCATTTAGGGGCCGGCCCCGTGGCTTAGCGGTTGGGTGTGCGCGCTCCGCTGCTGGCGGCCCGGGTTCGGATCCCGGGCGCGCACCGACGCACCGCTTCTCCGGCCATGCTGAGGCCGCGTCCCACATATAGCAACTAGAAGGTTGTGCAGCTATGACGTGCGGCTATCTGCTGGGGCTTTGGGGGGAAAAATAAATAAATAAAATCTTTAAAAAAATTCCATTTAGTTCTCTTTTATATCTTCTATTTCTTTGATATGACTTTCTATTATTTTTCATTTATTTCTATTATGATTGTAATTGCTTGTTGAAGCATCTTTATCAACAACTATGTCATATTGTTCTTGGTGTGTTTTGGGGTGTCTTTTCTCATTCAAGTGGAGATTTTCCTGGCTTTTGATATGATGAGCGATTTTTAATTGAAACCTGGACATTTTGGGTATTATGTTATGAGACTCTGGATCTTATTTAAATATGTTTCTGTCATGCTTCTTCTGACACTGCTTTGGCAGGGAAAGGGGAATGCTACTTCATTGCTGCCAGGTGGAGTGGAAGTCCAGGTTCCTCATTCAGCCTTCATTGACACCTGGGGGGAGGGTCTCCTCATTACTGCTTGACAAGGTGGGAGTTCAGGCTCTCCTCTATGTCTCTGCTGATACCACCCTGGCTGAGAGGAGCAGGGATGCCTTGTTATAGTTCCTCTCATGACTCGCACTGATGCCACAGTTTGGGAGGAGATGCTTGTTACCCCTGGATAGTAGTGAAGTGCTGATTCTCCACTGGGACTTCTCTGACACCACCCCAGTGGGAGAAGAGGAAAGACCCCTTGTTATCATCAGGTTGGCATGAAGTCCAGGCTTCCCATATAGTCACCACTGACACTATGTCAGAGAGGGCTTGTTACTGCCCTGTAGGAATGAAAGTTCTGGCTTCCAATTTCCCCTTCTCTGACACTGTCCCAGCAGGGGGTGTTTGGCTCCTTATTACAGCCTGCCAAGGGTGGAAGTCTAAGTTCTCCACTTGGCCTTTGTTGGTATGGGTGGTGCTGCAACTTTTTCTGTGGTGTTTGGTTGCAATAGAGTGTTTAGTATCTAAAATTTTTCTGTCTTGCAAGGTTGCACCTTTCCTGGTCCTTTGACTAGAGAGAGAAGGCTTTTCTTGAGGTTTTTTTCTTTTTGCCTATGCGCATTGATGTTTCTAGGTTTCCAGCTTCTCTAGCACTCAGTCTAGGATATATTAGGCAAAGCAAAACAAAATAAAACCTCAAGGAACTCACTGCTGTGTCATTCCTTGGGTTCTGAGGTCTATAGTCAGTCTGCTGCTTCTGTCTACTTTGTAGAGTCTTCTTATGTTTGTTTTATATACAATGTCCAGGGTTTTTAACTGTGCATAGCAGGAGGAATAGGGAGACGTACATCTACTACTTCTATCCAGAAGCAGAAGTCTCACTTGCTTTGTTTTTAAATTTCATTTTATTATGGAAAAATTTAAACATACACAAAAGTAGAGAGATTAGTAGAATGAATCCCCTTTACTCAGCTTCATCAGTTTTCAACATTTTGCCAATTTTGTTTCATTTATTCTCCCCACTCTAAGGTTTGTTGGAGTCTTTTAACCCAAATCCTAGATATAATATTATCTCACTCAATGTGTGTGCATCTCTAACAGAAAAATACTTTTTTTATATAACTATAATGCCATTATGACAATTTACTAACAATAATTCCTTAATGTAATTAAATACTAATTCATATTCAAGTTTCCCTGATTGTTTCAAGAAGTGTTTTAAAGTTGATCTTTTTCAAAATAGGATCCAAACCAAATGTAACCAAATGTAATTGCATTTGGTTGTTATCTCTCTTAATTCTCTTTAAAAAAGATCTATAAATTTCCTAAGCCAGAAACAGAAAGACAAATACTGCATATTACTTATATGTGGAATCTAAAAATGTCCAACTCATAGAAGCAAAGAATAGAATGGTAGTTACCAGAGGCTTGGGGGTGGGGGAATGGAGAGATGTTGGTCAAAGGATACAAAATTTCAGTTACACAGGATGAATAAGTTCTAGAGTTCTAATGTACAGCATAGTGACTATAGTTAATAATACTGTACGGTATACTTGACATTTGCTAAGAGAGTAGATCTTAATTGTTCTCACCGTTAAAAAAAAGGTAACTATGTAAGGTGATGAATATGTTAATTAGCTTGATTGTGGCAATCATTTCACAATGTATATGTATATCAAAACATCACATGGTACACCTTAAATATATACAATTTTTATTTGTCAATTATACCTCAATAAAGTTGGAAAAGAATCTGTAAGTTTCCCATCTTTCTTTTCGTCATCCCCTTTTAAATGCCATTTATCATTGAAGAAAACAGGTAATTTTTCCTATAAAATATTCCACATTCTGGATTTGGCCGATTGTTTCCTAGTGGTGACATTAAACTTGTTCTTCTATCTCCTATATTCATCATAAACTGGGAGTTAGAGCTAGACACTTGATTAGATTTAGGTTCAGTTTTTATTTTTGGCATCAATATATCATAGGCGGTGCTGTTTGCTTCCTATTGCATCATATCAGGAGGCACATAATATCTAGCTGTTATGATATCACATAACATCTTAGTGATGCTAAAATTGACCAGTGGGTTCAGGTGTTATCAGTGTGATCCCTCCATTGTAAAGTTCCCCTTATCGTTTTGCCTAATCTTTTTCTATCCATTCATGATCATTGCTCTAGATTAGTGGTTCTCAACTAGCGATGATTTTGTCCCCCCCAGGGGACATTTGACAATGTCTGAAGACATTTTTAATTGTCACAACTTGGGGGGGCTGTGCTAATGGCATCTAGTGAGAAGGGGCCAGAGATGCTGCCAAAAATCCTACAATGCATACGACAGCCACCAAAGAATTATCTAGCTCCAAATGTCAATAGTGCTGGGGTTGAGAAACTATGGCCTAGATTTATTATTTCATTAGGGATTGTAAATGGTGAAATACTAATTCTATCATTCCTTCTGCATTTGCTATCTGGAATTGTTGCATAAAGAATATCATTAACTATTTGGTTACCCCAAAATACAGTTCACACAAGAAAGGTGGGATAAACTCTTGAGTTTTCCCTTAACTAATTTTTGCAATAATAATTTGGTGCCCTAGCATCTATCAGGAGTGACCAGTCTTTTTTAATGTCATTATAAAATCATGTATTTTATACATTTAATGCTTGATTAATTGCAGATTTTTTTTGATGCTCTAATTGTCCCAGTATTGGCAAGTGGAATCTCTCCTTCATCTTGGATCCCATGGGTTTTGTTTTGTTTTGTTTTTTTGTTTTTTTTTTTGAGTAAGATTACCCCTGAGCTAACATCTGTTGCCAATCCTCCTGTTTTTTGCTGAGGAAGATTGGCCCTGGGCTAACATCCGTGCCCATCTTCCTCTACTTTATATGGGACACCAGCACAGCATGGCTTGATAAGCAGCGTGTAAGTCCGTGCCTGGGATCCAAACCTGTGAACCCCAGGCCACTGAAGCAGAGCGCGTGAACTTAACTGCTACGCCACCAGGCCGCCCTGGATCCTGTGTTATTTTGACATGACTACGTTAATCTTTGATACCTCCCTTGCTTTTTTGGCAAAACAAGATGTCCTAGGTGCATTTTGTACATCTCCTGTTACAGACCTGTAAACAATTATTTCTTCAAGGAGGATTGGCTCCTCTTGGTAGGAAATGATATTTAGAGACAATCTGGGCATTAGATACCCTCATTGCTACTAGGTTGCCATTGCTGCTACGTCTTTTCAGTGGCCAGAGCTAGGAAATATTTATTTTTTAGAGAGAGAAAAATAAATCATAAGTTCATAATGTTTCTGTAAATATTTGTATTTCCCCAACTTTCTTACACAAAAGGTAGCATACTATATATGATGTTCTGTACTTTGCTTTTACCCCTTAATAATATGTCCTAGATATTACTCCTAATCGTTATATAGAAATCTGTCTCATTCCATAGTATTCCATTTTATTTTATTAAAAAATATTTTTTCCAGCTTTCCATTTTATGACTCCTCTATAATTTATTCAACTGGTCGCCTGCTGGTGGACATTTGTTGTTTTTTTCCAGTCTTTTGTTATTACACAGTGTTGCAATGAATGGCCTCTGCATATATCATTTTGTACTTTTGCTGGTGTATCTTTGGGTTATATTCCTAGAAGCGGGATTACTGAGTCAAATAATGAATACATATGTAATTTTGATAGACATTGCTAAATTTCTATTAATTTCAAAATTGTATATAATTTTGTCAGTATTGATTTTTGTGGTTTTAAAAGGAATAAGATTTACTTGCAACTAGTAGTAAATAAGCCCTAGAGACCTAATGCATAGTATAGTGAATACAGACAACAATGCTGTATTATAAACATCAAACTTGCTAAGAGACTAGATATTAATTATTCCCACCACAAAAAAAGAAATGATTATTATGTGACATGATAGAGCTGCTAACTATCACTACAATGACAATAATATTACACTATATAAATGCATCAAATCAACATGTTGTACACCCTAAATTTACACAATGTTATATGTCCAATACATTTCAGTAAAAATAAAAAATACAGTCATACGTCACTTAATGACGGGCATACATTCTGAGAAATGTGTCATTAGGTGATTTTGTCATTGTGTGAACATCATAGAGTATACTTACACAAACCTAGATGCTATAGCCTACTACACACCTAGGCTGTATGGTACTAATCTTATGGGACCACCGTCATATATGCAGTCCGTCGTTGACTGAAATATTGTTATGTGGCACATGACTGTAAATAAAAAAAGAAATAAGACTTTGAAAAAGAATAAAAAGTGTGAGTAGGATTTTTAACTACCAGTTTTGGTACAATATAACAAGATCTACCTTTCCCACCCTTCAAATTTGATAGAGACACTTAGGACAAGAAGTACAAGAAGTCAGATTCCACACTTTGGTGAGTAAAATTCAAGAATGTGTTCTTCATTGTGCCTCTAAGCTCAGGCTCAGGCCCAGGGCCATGCCATATCCCACAGGGCCAATCTCCAGCATCAGACACAGATTTTGGGATTCCAGCGTTTTCCTAAAAGGCTGGGGTAAGATAGGTAGTTGGCCAGATGCTGTAACTCAGGAGGCTAATCAGTACTCAACATTATAAAGCAGATAGGTAAAGAATCAAAAATGTAGGTCATATGGGGCGGTAGTCTGAAGGGGTACAGTCAGAGCTGCTGAAGACTGAGGGAAGCTATGAAACAGCCTACTCAAGGCAATATGTGGTGAAAACTGGGAAAATGGCTCGTTAGGATATGATGCAGTTTAACCTACATCTTTGTTGTCATCCCTCACAAGCATGACTTTGCTCTCTCTGTGAGCCTTTCCTTTCTTTCAACCAGAGAAGGGCCCAGGCCATTGGAATCACATGGGTACAGGCTACCCAGGGCTGGATGTGTGCTTGAAGGAGGCCTTGAGTTCCTCCATTGTCTGCCCTTTCCACACCACTAAGCCTGCTGCTTCTGTCTGTAGGCCTGGCATCTCCTGGAAGCCTGTGGTGGATCCTGATGAGCCCATTCCTCAGTTTCCTGGTTGCTTGTATGGCTATGGGAGTGCAAAGTGCAAGGCCTTGTCTTGCTCCAGTGGTAAGCAGGGGCTGCTAAGCTGGTTACCTCGGTCGTCATGAATGGGCCAGCATGTTGGCTATTCCTGAGCTTAGGGCAGCTTGGCATGGTTCAAATGGGATGGGTCTTCCCAATGACCAGCTCCCAGACCTAAGGGCCCTGGTGCTGAGTGGACTTGCCATTTCCCTTTCTTTAGCCCAGTGAAGACTTGCAGACCACTAGTGAGACATCAGGAGGCCTGGACAAAGTAGGTGTCAGACATCTTATTGTTGATAGTAGGTATATTCTGAATGGGAACAGGTATAGAAGCAGAGAATAAGAATTAGCAAATTCAAGGTTCTTGATGTTTTTGTGCCTGTTTCATTTGTATAGTAAGAATAATATTGGGACCTACCTCATCAGGGTGTTATGAGGTTTAAATAACTTAGTAGAGTACTTATAAAATAGTGCCTGGCATATCATAAGCAATCAATAGATGTTAGTTACTGTTATCATTATTTGATTATAATTATTGTATGTAAATCATAAATCATATCATGTTATTCCCTGGCTAAATCCCCCAAATGATTCCCATTGCAATTGGGATAATATTCAAATCCTACACAGTGATCTACAAGGCTACAGGTGATCTGATCCCTGCCTGCATCTCTATCCTCACCCCCATCTTGTACCACTCTCCTTCTTAGCAAATTTAAGCCATTCTGGCCTTATTTTCATTTCTGAAAATCATTAAGCTCTTTTTTGTCTCAGGATTTGCACTTATTCTACATTTTTATAATCAGAAAAACAAACGAAATCCAAAAAAAAAACCTGACACTAAAATCCAGAATCCATAGAGAAAAGTTTATGAATCTTGACTACATAATAATCTTAAACATCACATGGTAAAAAAAAATGAAATAAAATACAACAGTTAAATAACATACAAATGATAAATGAGAAAATATATATACACTAGACTATGACAGACAAAGGGCTAATAGTTTAGTTAAGAGTCCAAACTTTAGATTCCAACTGCTGGGTTTGAATCCCAGGTCCATCATTTACTAGCTATGTTACCTTAGGTGCCACTGAATCTCTCTGTGCCTCAGTTTACTCACCTGTAAGATGGAGATCGTAACAGCACCTACTTCTTCTTATTGTAGTGAGGATTAAGCAATTTAATAGAACAACTCTTGGCATACTTCAAGGGCTATATAAGTGTTACTTATTATTATGATTAATAAGAACCCAAAAGAAAAATAGGCAAAGGATATGAACAGTCAGTTCACAAATAAAGGTAATACAAAATGACCAATAAACATGAAAATATGGTTGACTTCACTCATGAAGAAAAGCATTAATTTGTTTATTGTACAAATATTTAAATATGTATTAAGTGCCAAAGAGGCAATGGGAATAGAATAGTGAACATCTTACTTTCATGGAGTGTATATTATGGTAATTTTATGTGTATGTGCATGCATGTGTATGTGTGTGTAATATTTAATACATGATGTGGTGATAGTGTTTTGAAGAAAAATAAAGCAGGGGGCCCAGCCCCATGGCTTAACAGTTAAGTGTGCATGCTCTGCTACAGACGGCCCAGGTTCGGATCCCGGGCGCGCACTGACACACTGCTTGTCCAGCCATGCTGAGGCGGCATCCCACGTACAGCAACTAAAAGGATATGCAACTATGACATGCAGCTATCTACTGGGGCTTTGAGGAGAAAAAGGGGAAAAAAAAAGAGGAGGATTGGCAATAGATGTTAGCTCAGGGCCTGTCTTCCTCAGCAAAAAGAGGAGGATTGGCATGGATGTTAGCTCAGGGCTGATCTTCCTCAAAAAAAATAAAACATAAAAAAATAAAGCAGGGATGGGGTGTTATTTTATATAGAGGTCAAGGAAGGACTCTGAGATAAGGTGACATTTAAGCAGTGATCTGACGAAGTGAGGGAGAAAGCCACGAGAATTTCTAGGAGAAGAGTTTTCCAAGCAGAGGAAACAATAAGGGCATAGGCCTGGAAGCAGGAGCCAGCTTAGCTTATTCAAGGAACAGCAGTAAACCTAGTTTGAGGCAAGGCTGAGTTGATAGGAAGCAAGTGATAGGAAGTGACCAAGGACAGATTGTGTAGGGCTTTAAAGGCCAGGGTAAGGACTTGGGACTTCAGTAGGAGTGAAATAGAAAGCCTGCTATCTCTTAGAAACTGTATTCAGCTACACATAACAGAGATCCAAATAACAAAGGCTCAAATAGGATGATGTTACAAGTGTTACATAGACTCTAAGACACTGTTGACTGTAAGACACACCATTATTTTATGTGCCACTAAGAAAAAAAAACATGCTGCCAAATATAATCATAAACTATCATTCAAAGATTTCAGAGACGTTGAAACATGAAGAGATGTACCTCTTAGAGTTGGTAAAATATGCCTTTTTTTTTCTCATGTAAGAATAGGTCCAGAGGTAATCAGTTTTTGGGTTACAAGATGGCTACTCAGCCATAGCCATTAAATCCTTGTTTCTGGGAGGCAGAAGGAGAAACGAGAAAGGAGGGAAATGCCTTTTATTCTTCCATATTAATTTTGTAAAAGTCTCCCCCAAAAAACTCATTGGAATTTTTATTGGCATTGCATTGGATGTGTAGATCAACTTGGAGAGAACTGTCTGATGTCCAATATATAGTGCTAAGTTGTAGATCAATACGTATATTACAGTCTCATTTATATTTCATCGAAAGGATAAATGTATAAAACATGCTTGTATTTGCATAGAAAACTTCTCAAAGGATACATGAGAAACTGTTAACAAGTGGTTATTTCAGGGGAATAGAATTGGGTGTGATTGGCAGGGGAGCGAGGGGCTTTAACTTTTCATGTTATGCTCTTTACAAAACTACAAATATTGTATATATTACTTTTATAATAATAAATATAAACCAGCAACCTTAAAAGTGGAGTGTGCATTACCCTGGTGGTACAGGAAGACTTTCCACGGGGTAAATAAGCACTTAGAATTTTAAGGGGATCAATGTCTACGACCTCAAATTTCATATTTCATATTGCCTCAAGTTGATCTGCCAGAGAACACACTTGCAGTGGACGAATCAAGCTGGTTCTCTTTTTCCATCTCCCCTTTCACAGTAGTCCTTTTTGCACTTCACAAAAGAAAAGTATAACTTTTACCCAACCTGAATCTTACCTGGGTACACCGCCCTGTGGTGTAAAATCCTCAGGACACCAGAGAAACAGTTCCAAACACTGCTGTCAATGGTGAAGAAACAAATTGCTCTAACAGATGAATAGGGATCAAATCCTTTTGCAACTGAGATGGCTTCCAATAAAATTGAAGGAGAGCCCAACAGAGCTGTCAGCTGATAAATCATGAAAAATAATTTTGAATATAAATCATTGTGTAATTTCCCCCCATATATCTCCAAAGGAATTCAAAGACTCAAGTGACATTGCTAAAACAAAATGTAGATTCCCATTTACTTATTTATATAAATGAGGTTTCTGTGTGCTAACATTTAACCAAACGAAAAATAGGAAGAGAATTGATGCTGAATCCTGTCTCATTCTAAAAATAAGCAACATTTATCCATGGATATACCAACTTTTTTCAAAAAATGACCTACCTATCTCTAATAAATTTTTGTTTTTATGTTTAATAATTACCTATCAAAATTTGTAATATATTTACAATGTTTTGATCCATCCATACACATTGTCATGATAACTCAAACGAGTAAATTTTTAAACAACACTTATAGCTTTAGGATCACAGGAGCATTTAAAAAGGACTTAAATAGCAAAATAGATACATATTTTTGCTGCAGGGAAATATGATAGTATAATCAATAAAATCATTTCAAGTGCAAAAATATATACTATTGGAATAAAATTCTGTTAGAAGAATAGAATGGAATTGAGAACTCAGGGAGAAAAGGGAAAATGTAG